TTGTGATACCCTTGTTATCACCTGTATTCCATCCGTGACCTCTCGCTAATGTTGTTGCAGTGTGAAACCATCCGACTGATCGATAAATGAACCCAATCGATCGTGTGATTGTCGGGCCGGTATAGGAAGAGGATAAGTTATGAACCCGATGTTGTTTAAGTAGTGGTAAAGAATCACAATAAGATTTTCGTTAGTCCAGCGATGAGCCATCTGGGAAATTAGGGCTGGAAACATGTTCAAGCGCTGACGACACTGGGCTTGACCGATCTACAGGCACTATTTTTCGAAGCGGATCCGGTAAACGGAAAATCATAATAAACCTCTGAACTTGTCTTACAGATTGCAATATCCACTAATATTGGCCCATGCACAGCTCTCCCCCAAAAATATAACTAACTGTGCATTTCAAGCAAAACAACAGAGTGGCGAACAGGTTCGTTTTGAGAGATTCGTATTCATGTCAATACATCGTAACAAGTAGATTACTACTTGGGACTAAAATTGTCTTAGGAAAATAAAATAAAACCACAGATTATTAGAAATGATTTCCGGTCTTATGAAAATGAAATGGTTTCTAGTAGACTGTGATTTGATTTGATTTTTTCAAAACACTTTTATTTCCAAGTGCTGACACATATGTTCAGATGTATTGACAGGAATATGAAAATCTGAAAACGAGCGTGTGAATCATTCTCATTGTCTTGTTTCAAATGTGCTCTGTGAGACTAATTCGATAATTGCGAATCAAATTGTAAAATGTATCCACACTCTTTAATGATGCTGCCAACAAGCGTATATGCACAAGATTAGTTTTGTTCATTTGTAGACCGTAAAAGAAAAACTGGTTTCTTTCTGGCCCTCATGAATTAGTCCCCAACAATCGGATAATTTCCTGCGACCCTTCCACCAGCAATGTTACCGACACGTTGACTGGAATTTATTCACTCATATTAATACTTCGGTTATCGAAATAACGACTTAGGATCAATAAAAGGGATGCGGAAAGACAAAGGGCTAACATGGTGCACTGTTGAGGTCTTTCCAGTTTGTCTGCTGGACACACTGAAGACCAAACAAGGCACCAAAATAAACCTGCTTTACAAAGGTGTAAAGATATGACCATTGCATGTGTCGTTTCTATAAATCCATCATTTTGCAAACCGGGTTTCTCGTTTGGTTACATGTATGTCATAGAGGATCGGTGTGTTGTTAGCTTTTTAAGGTGAAATTCAAGGAGTTTTGCGAATTTCAAAATGGCACTACTATCTGTGAAATACCACTGTTACGAGGCACTACTCACATTTGTGAGTAGTACGGAAAAT